ACCTGGACCTATATCTGGACCTGGACCTATATCTGGACCTGGACCTACATCTGGACCTGGACCTATACCTGGACCTGGACCTATACCTGGACCTGGACCTATACCTGGACCTGGACCTATATCTGGACCTGGACCTATACCTGGACCTGGACCTATATCTGGACCTGGACCTATACCTGGACCTGGACCTATACCTGGACCTGGACCTATACCTGGACCTGGACCTATACCTGGACCTGGACCTGGACCTATACCTGGACCTACCATTCTGTGTTGGTCTGTCTCTCCTTCCTGTCCTCTCAACCAGCCGGTCAAAGCAGATGGTCTCTTGTCCTGAGCTGGTTCTGCTGGAGGTTTCTTCCTGTTAAAGGGAGTTTTTCTTTCCACTGTCTCCACTGTGCTTGTTCAGGATGGGAGACTGCAACGAAGCCAAGATTCAACTTGTCTGCTGGATTCCTTAGATAGAGAACTTTACTAATTGGCTTTTATGTGAATGTTCCTGTAAAGTCCCTGAGACAACTTTGTTGTGATTTGGAGCTTTATAAATAAACTGAATTGAATATCTAACCCTAAACCTAACCCACCAGCGACATTTGAACCTTATGGGGACCGGGCTTTGGTCCTCACAAAGTAACATAAACAAGCACACACACACACACATTGGATATAGTGTGTATATCTTGTGTATATATATGGATATGTACACATGACCTTTGGCCTTTGTCTTCCATGGAGGTTGATCAGAAGAAAAGAAACAACATGTTTTCATGCATCTTAAATTGGTGTGACTCCAGAGAAACCTGGAGACAACTGTCTGCAGGGGAGACCTACCTCTGCGGTTGACCTGATAGGCTGTTATTTTACCGATGGAGGTGACACCGTCAGAATTAACATATCTGAGGATAAAACGAGTCAAATAGACGTCGGCCTCGTTCACATAAACCTGAAGCTTTACTGCAGTCTACAGGAGCCAGGTTGAAGAAGAGACAGAGCAGGAAAGGGGAACAGAGAGCATTAAAAACTGAAAACATATTTTTATGTAAACTTCTAAATACTGAATTGATCTGTGGCCCGAAAGAAGAAAAGAGAAGGGACTAAAAGCATGAAGTGTTCTGAAGCCACCCACCATCCCAAACACACGTCAGCAGGACTGAGCAATGAAGAGCGAGCACGAGAAGACGACGTAGAAGTTCAAACAGAAAGCCATCTTCAGTTAAAGAAATTACATAGTGCGGTCATTTTTAGTGATGTTCATCAAATAGCTATCAATAACTTTTATTATTAGCAGCATATCCCCTTATCGATACACAAGATGACCTACTGAACCTGCCATGGCTAACAGGCTAGTCACAGAGTAATATGATACTTTTATAGAAGTTTCCAAATCATCATCTAAAAAAATATGAACTGTGTTTTTTTTTTTGTTTTTTTGGAAAAATATTCTGTTTCCTTACATAGAGGGGCAGAACTTTAAATAAATAAATTGGACTGTAGCCAACTCGTAGGGGAAACTTGGCATTTGGGGTTTCAGCTTCTGGTCCTGCTTCTGGGATCAAATTCTAAAAAACCTGAGACACTGGAAAAATGTCAATAAGAACAAAATGCAACTATTTGCATATTTAAAACACATATTTTATTCACAAAAGAGAAAAATGAAATGAGTGACAACAGGTCAAAAGCAAAAAGGCAAACTCTTGTTCAGTCTTGTGAAAGAACCGTGAACGTAAAGCTGTCAGGAGAGTGGGCAGAAGAAGGCACGCCCTGGGGACCAACTCAAGTGGTGGAGTGCATTAAAGCAAAAACTAGGGCTAAGACCACATGCACATAAACTGCAGAACTGAACTTTAATGGGACAAGTTCTGAAACTCATCTTAACTGGCTGATGATTTAGTTTAGACAAGTAATATTTGCTGTTTATAACACAATTTTTATGAATACTCTTGAGTTTGAGTTACATTAACCCCACGAAACCTATTTAATGATGTGGAAATTGTGTTCAAAGCACAATAAATTAAAACAAAACATTGAAAAACGTATTTTGTCAACTATTATGGATGTGATGGCTTTAAATCTCTCAACACTCCAAGTTCTTACAGTAAAGTCATGTACGTGCTGCTGTTTGAACCAAAATGCCTCCTGTAATTCCATAGGTATTTGGAAAATCTTATAAATCTGAAGCATAGAAATAAAAAAATAAAAAACACAAAGACGAGAACAATTTGTTTGTTCTTTCACAATACTACACTTACAATTACCATAGTAGTAATTCCAGCTGTCCTCTATGACTGACACCCTGCCCCGAACATCCAAACCACCCCAGTTGGCATAACGCAGCACTACATGGAAAAGGTCTGGAGAGGTGACCAACACCGACACCAACACTTTGGACTGCAGAGACGGCAGGAAGCAAGGACAGAACAACAACAGACAGAGCAACAACAGACAGAGCAACAACAGAGAGAAAAATGCATGATCGTAGGGGAACAAAGCAAACGAACGAAACAGATAACAACACAAAGTAAGAAAAGAATCCCAAGGATTAAAAAATAACAAGAGAAAAACTCCAAGAGAAAAGAGGAGGAGAACATTTATACATCTGGAGATATGGATAAATCAAAGTAAGATCTTAATACCACCACCTTAACAATAAAGAGCATGGAAAGACATTTCTCTGTGGATTTCTACTTTTCAACACAAACTCTCAGGCTGCTCAGGAAAAGATCACATTCAAGCTGAATGTCAGATTCATTTCATAGTTTTTCACTTTTATAATTGCAGTAAAATAAATTCATTATCCTAAATTGCTCACGTGTGACAGTTAATACTCCCTTCACACTGGATGACAACTTCCTATCCATGACCTACATCAGAATGTGGTTGGACTGCAGCGAGTATGGGAAACCTCTTTAAGAACAATAGTGATGCTGCTCCAAACTTAGCATGAACCAAATGAAGTTTTTTTGTCTTCAGCCGTTATCTGTTAGTGGTATGATGTATCACTATATGTACGGAGTGTGATATATCCTCATCACACTCCGTACATATAGTGATATGATGTATCACTATATGTACGGAGTGTGATATATCCTCATCACAC